ATGGGGAGGGGAAGCTTCTTTCGGGATGACTATGCATTAGCAAAATGGGTGGGGGCTGTGTAAGCTGAAGTGGAGAAGATTTTTGTGGTTTTCTCAGATTTTAATTTCCCTAAAATGAGAAAAGTGGGGGTATGACCTTGTTGAAGGTTAAATTGCTTGTGTGTACGGTGCAGTCTTTCGTGTATGTAGGCATCAGATCATCTCTTGAGCATGGCTTAGTGGGTGTGTACCTTGCTCTGTGGTTTGGTCTTCCTTAGGTGCCTTACTCCTCCACCTTCTGCTTCTGAGCTAATGGCTCCCTGCTCCACTTTTGCTGATGCTTCTGGTCTTCTGTCCCAGTGACACTTTTCTCTTGTTTTCCTGATTGTACCGACAGCTGTGAAATTGAGACTGAGGCATCTCTTCAGTTTGCTCACTCCTCTGAAGAAATAACATTGAGGAGAGCACTGAGGAGAATTCCAATTGCATTTGGATCTGCATTTGTTGTGCAGACAGAGRAGTATGTTAAGCTGACATGGAGTGCAGTAACTGTAGATGCAATCACTGCCTGTGTTTGTAAGTCAGGTGAGTGACTGAACACAGCATTGCTCACATGTGTTTGGAGTGACCTATGTGTACCTGTGTGTCAAGTGTGTGTTGTGGGGTGATTTCTACCGACTTGAAGTTAAGAAAGTTTTGCTCAGCATGAACAGTAAAATGTAAATGAGTTGCAGTAGTTAAATTTGCACGCCAGGTCACATACTTAACTCTGATTGTTTTGGAAGTGCTGCTGGAGAGCTTAAAAATCCACTGTTGGGACCTTTTCATGTCTCACAGCTACATAAACTAAATGCCACACCAGACWGCAAAAGCGATATAAGAAGTAATAAATATAGAAGCATTTGATTTTTCTTGAATTGCTATCGCTGATTTTAGCCGTGCCAGTGAGTCTCTTACAGTGTAGTGCTATTTTGTCCTATCTACCTGCTTCTTTTCCTACCTTTTGCCATTTCTACKGGTAATGCCTTTGGGTGTTGGAAATACTTAAATTAACTATTCATCATACATACCTAGCAGAATAGAAAGAGCTGGTCCCAGTTGTCAGTTCTAGGCATTGTTATAATTAAAATAGTCTAAAATAAACCTTGAACCATTTTGTATTCCTTGTAAGTCTAGGGCACATTGTAAAAAAAAAAAACATTAAGCTGCTGCTTTCACTAATATAAAGTATAARGCTCTTGTGTCCTAATAGTTTCAGAAAGTTCAGGTTCTGATTTATCTGCTGCATGGTTCTTCTGTATTGGCATTTTTGGATCTAGAATAAAGATAGTTTAATGGAGAAACTCTTGGAGGAATGAAAAATGGTTTTGTGGTATTTTAACAAAGTTCACTATGGTGGATATTTAAAGCAATATAGTTGTGGAGTAGGTTTTAAGGAGGAGTATTTTCTTGTCTAGTAGCTCTTCAGGAAAACCTTGCAGCCAGATTGTGTGTGGTTTTTTTTTTTATTTACGTCTTGTAAAGCAGAAGGAGGCTTAGCTATTAAGGCTCTTTCATGGGATAGCTTTGTGTATCATTCTTTGCTCTCTCAGCAGTTTAGAAATTAAATACTTTCAGCCTTGGATGAGATGATCTATTTTAAAAACACAAACTGTGTTTGCAGATGGGAGAGAACAGCTTCCGAGTCCTGTCATTTGGGGTTCTTTTCTTAGTGGCACTGGGGTAGGTCTTGCTCAGAGCAGGCAGATACTGCCTCCTTTACTAGACTGTGGTTGAATACGTGTTCAGATATGCTCCGTGGAACTGAAGGACCATGCCTGAACCTTTCTTCCTTCCTCTTATACCACATTTTTTTGTGTCAGAATTGAGGTTTTCATATTTATGTTTGTTTATCCTTATGTAGAAATAGCTCTTCCTCAGTAATAATATTTTCCATGCCTTTATGCAAGCCAAAAATGAAGTTTTTTGTTTTCATTTATGCCACATCCTATTTTCTGTTCTGAGTTTATTTTCAGCGGAAGAAGCTGCCATGTTAATGTTGGAGACAGAAGGTCTCTGTTTCCAAAAGATACAGGACTGTCAGTCTGCTCATGATGGAGAATTAGTGTGCTGCTGTTTTTTCTGTGAATGCAGACCATGTGGACACATCCCTGCTTCTTTACATCTATGTGGAGTCTCTAAGAGAACTGGTCCCTATGCAGTTTGGAACTTCTTCTCTATCAAGAATCTTAGTAACAGTGTTCTACATCTCTAGGTTTCTATCAGGATAGGTATCTTGACGGAAATAGCACAGGCTTTGCATTGTTTTCTTTCCCCCCCTTGCCTTGAGAGCACCCCCTAGTACTCCTAAAGTGCTTTCAGAAGATATTGGGTAAGTGTAAGGGGTACTAGATAGGTGTTTAGGCTAATGTCCTGGCAGCACAAGGCCCCGTTTTGCTCTAACATATATAACTTGTAATGACATCTGGGCAGGAACACGTAACAGCTTGTAGGGGCTGGGGGTGTGATCTCTGCCTTCCTTGGAAGCGGCTGTGTATAGACCTCACACAGACAGACAGACAGACACTGCCAGAACCTCCTGTTGTCCATGTAGAAGAATTGTACTGGCTCTGTTCCAAGTTTTCTGTGGCCATCCTGGAACACACATGTGTCTAAAAGCTCTGTGTGTTTACCTAGATGTACTTTCATGTGTGCTTGTTTCCAGTTTCCAAAGTTAGGTGTTTTTCCTGGCTCTCTCTTCTGGTCCTGTTACGTTGCAGGTTACCTCTGGGTGGAGCAAGGTAGACACTTRGAGATGGCAAAAGCTCCAAGAATGAAATTTAGAAGTGTTGAAATCTATTCCTTTGATAGAATTAGGAGAGCTCTCCAGAGAGGGAGAATAAGTGTGCAAGTAACGTTACTCTCCCTTGAACTGAAAGCAATGAGCTGGAGATGAAAGAGGTGTGCTGTGAAAACAGGATATGGCAGGAAGAAATGCTTCAAAATTTATTATGCATTAGATTGGTTTGTATTGCATTGGTAATTCAGGTTTCTAAATGCCCCTAATTTGACATATGGTAATGTCAAGTACTTTCCTCATGGTTTGGTACCTTGCAGTGCTGGGAGCTGTATGGACAGAGAACAGAAAGATGGTTGTCCCAGGGAGCTTAAATTGCGAGAGAAGCAACAGAGAAATACAGCCAGTGGGAGGAGCACCAGGAAAGAGATCACAGCCAGGAGCGTGACTGATGTCGGGTTGTTGCTCAATTGGAGGAGCAAAGTGGGAAAGTGGAGAAGGTGGAGGTGCATAGGGAATAGCTTTGTGGCTGTTAGAAAGTACCTTTTTGCCTAGGCATGAGAGGAAGAGGAAGATGTGTTGTGGCACTGACTTGGGCTGTGATGGAAGTAGGTGTCCAAGAAATAAGTGTCAAAACACATTCAGAGTGTCAGGTAAGAGGGAAGCTGCTGATACCAAGGTAATTGATCTGTAGCTTATCAAGGCAGTGTTTTTGTTGTGTCATGTTCCCAGGCACCACCTTTACTAGACTTGTGTCCTGTTGCATAGTGGGGAAGGGGCATCTCAGAAGCAAGGCCTGTTGAGAGAGTTGCTGCAGCTCACTCTCACAGTGTTCTTTCTAACAAGGTAGAAGAGGAGCTAGCAGACTGAGCTGATGGTAGTGAATGAGCTGAAATCCACTCTCCTGGTTAAGGCTCCAGTCATCTGTGCTTTTATCTGTTAAGTATAGACCAGAATTAATCTTACAGCTTCAGCTTCTTGCATACAGTAGTGTTTCATAACAGCTTTGTGCACTGCTTATACCTGTTGCTGTAGCTGCGATGTGTGGGATTTGAGGAGATTAGAAGGGATAATTTGGAAGGTTTATGTTAATTTTGCAGATTTGGGAGCACAGCATTCCTTCAYGTTTGACTAGCAAGGAGAATGAACTGCAAACTAATGCGTAGAATCAATAAAAGGTATCAAGTAAATAAAAAGCTGGCCTTGGGGGCMACCCTGAGGAAGGGGGCGAGTGCTCACAGGTGAGGTGGTTTGGCTTTGTGTAGGAGATGTAGAGCCTGCAATGTAAGAGAGTTTGTATATTTTCTTTCAGAACATGGTGCTGGAAGGAGTTACTAATTTCAATGACTGTATGAATTGAAGTGATTAGGTGAAGAATGAGGCACAATCATGTAATTAATGGCTGTTGATGTATAAGCACGAGGGGRCAGTGTTAAGGTTACATACACAACTTCATTTTATAAGTGACCTTGCTTCTGAGTGTGTAACCCTTGTCATGACAAAATGCTTGTTGATCACTTTTTGCTGCTTCCACTTCTTTGAAAATTAGTGCAAAGATGCAGAAGAATTCCCTTTCAGATCCTCAGTTCTGCTGATGTTACTGAAGCTGCAATTGGATCCATGCCATCAATGTGGTTTGATTAACTGGAACGTGGAGGTCTAGGTCCTGTTCCTCTTGGCACCTGTGGTCTGCTGTACAGATCCTCTCCCCCATGAACTTTAGGAAGGGCTTAGCAACTTCCTGTCTTGCATAGCTCCCAAAGTGCACTGGGATGTGCAGGATTGCAGCTCGCTGGACTTTATTTAGAGCTAGGTCAACCACAGGTGCATCTGCTCTGATTTCATTTTAGATGTGCCCTTTTTGAGCATAGTGGAAGCACTCTCAGCACTGCTTCTGTTCACTTACTTCAGAAGTTACTTGGGTAGAAATCCCTTTCTTCTCAAGTAATAAAAACCTTGCTAACTTGTGCAGTCACCACCCAGCCTCCATCTCTCCACATTATTAGATATAGTACAGATAATAAAATGTGTGTGTGTGTAGGCTTAGAAGCTCAAAACTTAAGTTATATTTCCTGTACTGATCAGGACTGGAAAGGAATTAACCTGCTGTGCATGCAGTTATGGAAAGCTGTAACTTGGAACAGTGATATTTTGGAAAAACAACAGCTGGAAAGAACAAAGAAAAGCCAAGTTTGACAATTAGTTTGTAAATTAAAGCATTGCAGTTTTGTATCTCTACCTATAGAAAGAAGATACCTGCTTAAACAAGTCTGGGTATTTCCCAAGACTTTTTCTCCTGTGGAAGAAAGCAGAAAGGAGGCGGAGTGTGACATAAGGTAACATCAGACTGCTGCACACCACTGATACAAGTGTGTGTTTTGGAAAAGCCTGTGCTGAAGGGGCCGTTTGCACGCTTTAGAATGCATGTGTAAAGGATGTGCTACTGGCCCCTGCTTTTGCTGTGTACCTGTTCCCTATTTTGTGCTGTGGCTTCAGGTGAAGCAAGGCTGGGGCAGTTCGTCTATAAATATGTATTCTCTTTTGTGTTCTGTAACAACCTGTCAGTAAATGACAGATGGGCCATGCCTTGCTGCAGCTGTAAATTGTGGCAGTGGATCATTGGCCTTTCTAAAGCCCTTTCCATCCACTGATCATAGAGGCCTGTGTAAGAGCTATGTCTTGTGCTTTTATAGAAGGAGTATTCTGAAAAAKATTAGGAGGTTATCAGAAGGAGGCAACTTTTATGCTGCTCCCCCAGTTATGCTGTTCCCTTTGATACCCACATCAGAAACAGCTCTTCTAATGGGTAGGACCAATGGCTGCTTGCTTGTGATCTTGGTTTAAGTGGATTATCTTCCTACAATCCAGAGGTCACACTAGAGCCTGCTTATGACCAAATTGAAAATAATAGCTTCTTTAGATCTTAGACCTTCAAGAATTTTTCCATTGAAAGAAGATAGCTTTTTATCCAGGAAATAGCCAAGGGTCATGCTGCTTTGAAATCTTGCATATTCTTGTGTTCTACATGTGTTTTCATGTGTCASCTTTTAGAAGCCAATTAGATTAAATGCACATCATGTGGAAAACAATGCAAAGTTAGTAAAATTAATACCGGGTTGGCTAAATATACCATGCCATATGCAAATTTTGGTAAAAGCATGACTTTCATGCTCTTCGTACTCTTAAAGTGAGGGGAGCTTTCAGTGCATATCCTTCCAATGAAGGTGCTTTGGGCTGACTGTAGTTTTCAACAGGGCAGTAGGAGAGATGGGGATTGCTTGCTGGAGGAATTAGGWTATTCTTTTCCCTGCCCTCCTCGCTGCGCAGTGACACTGTGGCACATGTTCTTGTTGCTTCTTGGCAGGCTAACCATGACACTAGGACACAGCAGAATAGCCTGTACTCTGACAGAAAATAGCTGTTAAGTTAGGTGTGCCTGTCATCTTCCAGTATGGATGATTTAGATACTTCCTTCTGATCTTTTTACAAGGGCGTGTAGTGGTAGGACAAGGGGAAATGGCTTTAAAGTGCGAGTATGTTAAATTAGATATTATGAAGAAATTACTCACTGTGAGTGGTGAGATACTGGCACAGGTTACCCAGACGAGTTAGGGATGCCACATCCCTGGAAGTGTTCAAGGACAGGTTTGTTGGAGCTCTGAGCAATCTGGCCTAGTTTAAGGTGTCCCTGCCATCAGCACAGGGCTTGATCTTTTAGGTCCCTTCCTACCCAAACCATCCTATAATTCTGTGATCTCTGTTGAATGCTGTATTCATCTTATATATTTTTATTTATTTATTGCAGAAGGGTGGTGATGATGGCAGTGGCTGGATTTCATGGTCTCTGGGAGGCTGTCAGAGGTTCCAGAGTATCACGATTTGTTTTATCACGAGGGGTGGCACACTTACCCAGGTCCTGTTCATAAAACATGTGAACAGGCTGGTGAAAGGCATGCGAGAGATGCAAAGTACTGTTACATTTCTGACTCCWTTCAGCTGGGTTCAATTGCATTGTGGTTCTCTTCCCTGACAGGTCTTGGTTCGTGGGCAGCTCTTTAGCAATCCCAACTGGAACCTCACCCCAAAAGGCACCATGATAATGATGACTGATGTCACTGCAGCCCCCAAATTGGGGTCAACTGCCACCACTCCAGCTGTGGCTCCCAACTTCTCCTGGATGCCAGAGGATGGTAGCCCCACAGCTGTGGAGCAGCCAATATTTCTCATGACCACTGCTGCTCAGGCTATCTCAGGTTTCTTTGTATGGACAGCTTTGCTCATCACCTGCCATCAGGTAAAACCCTGTCACTTGTATTTCTCATCCTTTCCTTTTCCCCACATGAAGGAGAAGATCATTTCCATAGTGTGAATGGAGAGGAAGCACACTCTTTAACAGCAGGTGTAAAACATTTGGCCATCTCTTGAAGCTTTGCAGAAAGGTGTGTTGTCTCAGGCCATCCTTTCACAGGTYTTTAGCTGAATCTTGCTGTTTTTATATTGTGTCAGCTGTTGGCTAAAAGATCCTAGTCACCTGTTGTTTGACATTCCTCCTTTGATCTCCTGTGGCAGTGGATTCCACAGGCTGAACTCTGCTGCGGAAAGGAGTAGCAGGAAATGTTTTCTTTTAATTTTTTCCCCTCCCCTCTCTCTGGGACAGGTGTCCTGGGAGCCAGGATAAGTCAAACCCTGCATCTTGTTCTCTTTCATGTGGTTGTCATGTGAACTGAAAAATACAGTGGGGAAACACAAGCTCTGTTATTTATCAACCTGTATTTTGTACCTGTTGGATGGTAGATTCCAGAGTGATGACTAGAAAAGTACAGCCTATTGGTGGAGTACAGGGGCTAGTGAAGTTAAAAAAATGGTTTAGTCACAGATGAATAAGAGTAACACCTGCAGTTTCACCAGCTTGGGTAACAATTACAAGTGCCAGGTATCCTCCTGTCAAACTCATTGCCTGCTGAGGGTAGGRCAGTTGCACAATTAGGTATTAATGCCCTTCTCCAAAGAAACCGATGGAGGTCAGTGCCAGAGAGACTCTGTTGATTGAAACACGCTGTTGTCCTCTTACACAGCAGTAGTCCCTTTGCTCTCCTGGGCAGGGCTCTTTTGACATCCCAAGGGCAAAGCTTGTAGTCATCTGAACTCCGGTGTCAGCTGTCTCTGTGCTGGATGAGACGTGTCACTGGGATTGTCGCAAGGCAAAAATATCTCTAAGGTTTGTTAGTTTATTTTCAATCTGTTCTCAGGAAATTAGGTTTTTTGTGAGCTGCTAATGGGTTAAGGAAATGAAACAGAAATATTTTTGAGCCCTTCAGTCAATTTTCATCAGGGGGGGATAAGCAACAGACAGCTATGGAGASACAAGCCCCTCCCACTCACAGTGGAAAGATGAGATTGTCAGTTTATGTGTTGTTAGTCTCTAGTCTATGTTTTGTTAGTCTCTGGAGAATCCTCACAGCACCTCAAAATGCTGGGTGAAGCTTCAAACAAGTGCTTGTGCCACTTCAGGCAAGTGCTTGTGCCACTTCAGAATCAGTTCAGTGGTGAGGCACACATGTAATCAGCTGGCTGTTACTAATTCCAGCAGCTGGGACAGCAGCTCGATGAGAATTGCTATACAGAGGCCTTGTCTCTTCTGACTCCTTGGTCAACAGAGTGCACCCACAACTCGTGCTAAAGCTCTGCTCATGTTATTAGGGTATTACAGGAGTTGTGCTCATCTTCATCAAGAGTGTGCTTGTGGTCAATACCTTTTCCTGGAGGTGGGTATTCTGCGAAAAAGCATTTTAGGTGCGGGATTTAATGATGGCTGAGGAACTCTGAGTGGTGGGAGCGGGTAGGGTGGAGACACTGTGCTCCCCTCAGCTGGTGACTTAGAGGTATTGGCATGTGTTCAGTCAGACAGAACAAACTGTGTGGTTGCTTTGAGCACACTGCATGAGCTAAGTGCTCCCTTGACAGCTGACCCTTCATGACTGTGCTTTCACCCATGTACAGAATGACACTTTTTGAGCAGATGGACTGTGGCTTATCAGCTTTGGGCTGTGCCACAAAGGTCTCCTTAGGTTGTTTCAGGGGAAAATCTCAAAAGCATCTAAAACAGCCAAAAAACAGAGTGTTCACAATGAGCATGTGCTCAAAGTGCATGTACCTTCCCTCTTCAGAGACGAGCAGCCTGCATTGTTATGAATCTTAGGTATGTAAAAGAGGATAGAAGGAGTATAGAACTGATAATGGAAAGAAAAGATATTAACAAAATAATTCGGGCAAGGTGATGCAAAAATAAATCAATTCCCTYGAAGAAACTAGATTAGAAATGCCTCAATTTTCTCTTTCCTCTCCTTCCCCTCCTTTGCAAACTAGGGGGTGCTATATCAATGCCATATGATAACAGTGATTTGTCTTTTATGTTCATCACCTTGAGGCTGCTGGAGCAATCTAGAGGTGATTTACTGGGTTTGTTTTTTCTGGCCCAATTGACTYGAGTTCTACTTTCTCCTCTCTGCTCCATATACCGCTGATCCCCATCTCCCCTCTCCACCTCTCAGATCTACATGCATCTCTGCTGCTATAGCTGCCCAAATGAACAGCGCTACATCGTTCGGATCCTCTTCATTGTGCCCATTTATGCCTTTGACTCATGGCTCAGTCTCCTGTTCTTCACCAATGACCAGTACTATGTTTACTTCGGCACAGTGCGGGACTGCTATGAAGGTAAGGAGGGGKTGGATGAAAAATGGTAGGGGTGGGAAGTCTCTGCCCTGAGAGAGCTTTATTTCTGATTGAGAACATGTAGAAAGCATTGCTGGCATTGAATGGTGTGATTAACTGGATGACTATGGCTTGCTTAGTGACTATGAAAATTGTAGAACCATAGGATGGTTTGTGTCAGGATGGATCTTTAAAGATCATCTAGTGCAGCACCCCTACCATGGAGTGGGACATCTTTTACTAGATCAGGTTGCTCAAAGCCCTATCTAACTTGACCCTCTCCCTCACCAGCCTTGAGCATGACAGGATGTCTTGAGCCTTCCCTCCAGTGTTCTGTAGTGACAAAATTCATGGTTTTCTGGGTCCTTTGCTTTAGGAAGGTAAAAGCTTTTGGTAAAGCAAAAAAATCTGGATGTTAGAAAGTGAGGTATTGCTTAGCTCCTGTCTCTTCTAACAGTACTTAGCAGCCAGACACTTGCTTTGTCCTGTGTTCCTGGTGCAGTTTGTTAGCAATGTATTCTTCTGGTCCCATCCTGTTGCCACTTTTGTGCTTGCATAGGGTAGCACAGCTGCCATGTGCTGGGCAGCTGGTGAAGTATAATGTGCTTTGGAGACCGGCAGAACAGAGGGTGCCATGTTCAGGATGAGTTAGTAATTGCTTGATTTTGGTTATCTGCTGCAGTAATGTAATACCACTAGCATTGTATGTGAGGAAAATGGTTACTTTCCTGTARATGCGGTTGTAACTTCCCTCCTGATCTCATCCTGAAAGGAGCCTCTACCCACCCAGCAGCAGAAACTGCACTCTAGCTGTGTATTTTTGAGGAYAATTTATTGCCATACCCTCATTCAATCCTAACTCGTTGGTACAGTAGTTTTGGTGAGATCTGCATTGCAGAGAGGTACCCCTTGCCATTTGAACAAGTTAATCAGTTGAAGGGACCAGCAGGTCCTCCTTGACATCCACAACAATACTCTGGAAGTAGTAGCAGATGGCAAACATCCACACGTGATGCAAGAAGGCATCTTTGTCTAGACTTGGGCTTTTTCTTTCCCTGCCCCGTGCATGTGTATAGGTCTAGCAGGAAGCCTGCTGCTCTCCTAGCAACAGCCAGTGTCCCTCTGCCTCTATTGCTCTGGGAATTTGCAAACATTTGAGCATCTGTTCAGGAGGCTGCTGTGCTCCAGAATTCATCTCAGCATGTTGGCCTGTGTGAGAAAACTACTGGTGGAGGTGAAAACACCTTTGAAAAGCAGGTTCTCTCCCTCACTTTTTGGGGGGATTGCTTCAAAACAGCCTTTGTTCTCCTCCCTTTCTTACCATCCACCTTCTTTATTTTTTTGGAAGGTTTTACATTGCAAAGTGGGGAGGAGCTCTGTTWGGGAATGGTGGAAGAAGACTCTACTAATAAATTTTGAAAGCTGTCTTAAGCCATTTATGGGCTRTGTTTTGTAGTGTGTGTTTAGAGGAACCTGTTTTGGTGTTGCTCTTTCACGTGACTCTGCTTCTTACAAACCAGGGTGTCAGTAGCACTGACACAAGTAGGGTTTGTTTGGTTTTTTTTTTTTGTTATGTTGATATGAATACCATCTGATGAATGTGGATCAGGAATGAGAGAAGAGTTCTTTGGTGGCGTGATGAGCTCTGCTAGTTAGCGCTTACTTCTTTTGGGGATGGATGGGCAGATATTTCTCCCTTTATTTTTTTCGTTTTGTTTTCTTCCTTTGTTGTCATCTCTTCCCTAGTGCTTGCGGAATGGGCAGCCGATATTATAATGACCACATCAGAGGGCAGGGGTCACTGGAGGATAATAGGAAAAGCTCAGCTTTTTTTTCTCTGGGTGCTGGGAGCTGTCAGCTAAGTTGCAGGAAAAATGAAGGCAAAAGGGGTTACCACAGTTATTTAAAGAAGTTTTCCATGGTTGGTATTTTCTGTCCTAATTAAAGCTTTGGCAAAATCATTATTATGTGAACTTTGTTCAATAATAAGGATTACAGATGGAATAACAATACCCCACTTACATACATAGAAGCATGTATACCACTGGCTTTTAGGTGCCATAGCAGTCTTGCCAGCTAGACACGTCTACAAGCCGTAAGTACAATGTTTTGAGACTGTAAGTGTTTTGGGGAGTGTGGAGTACCTCTTTGCCACGGCATAGTTTGGATGCTTATAGGAGAATTAGAGTTGGGTCTGACTTAGGAAGATCATTCATGTGGAAAAATTGACCTCAGRTCTAACAACTGGCTGCTTGGGGAGATCAGCTTCTCAGTGTTGTACATTATTAGGTTTCTGTTCTTATTTTAAAGCTTCTTGAAACTACTGTTTCCATCCCTGAGTAGTTGGTGCAAAAAGCACGATTTGGGTGTTGTCTTTCCAGGGAATGTCCAGACACAGGTGACCATAGAATATAATGTTGCAAGGGTTGTCTGGTCTGTCATTTTGCCCTAAGGCTGTCTGTGATGAAGGAAGAAGTACAGTCCTTGCCCTAAAACATCTCACAACTTTGAGGCTCCAACAGCAATTACAACAACTCAAGAGAGTGGCAGACAAGGCACATAAAGGGTCACTTCACGCATATTTAAGTGAATTTAGATCCAATGAAAAGAAGATACATCTGTAGTTACGAAGAACTGAAATGGGGCAGAATATTAGTGGTCAGTCTGAGAAGGTTGTCCATTGTCTATACCAGGTTGCTGGGGAAGGTGCAAAAGAGGTGGCCTAAGGWCAAGCTTATTCAGTGCCCAAGAAATTTCTTCTTTTTAAGCAAATGAAGCATGGAGCCTATTTTTCAAAAATTTCCACTGGATGTGAAAACAGAGTTTCACTGATAGTTATAAACCCTTTCTCCAACTCTTGTGCCTGTAGTCTGGTTACCTGACAGAGACAAACTGTGTTCATCAGCTAGAAGGTTAAATACAGACAGGAGATAACATATGGCTGATGGATCAAAGATATCTTTTCCAGATTATTTAGTACCAGTGTAATGTTCTGGAATAATGCACAGGAACTCTCTAAAGTATGGCATCTTAGAGATGCCAGATAAAACAGATATTGACTGCAGTTTTAAATGTTCCTGTGACCCTTTTGGCATGAGTCATGGAACTGGCCTGGGACCTTGGCCAAATTTCAGTTCAGATAGTCTTGTGAGTGCTGAGGTAGGATGATAAATGCAATGAAAATAATTTGGAGTGCTTTGAAAGGAAAGGTGCTGCATAAGCAGTCCCTGCTAATGTTTTGTCTGTTGCCTGTACTCTTGGTCCTTGCACCTGTTTTGAAGTTGGTTGTCATTTTACTGTGATTGATGTCTTTGCAGCCTTTGTAATATACAACTTTCTCAGCCTCTGCTATGAGTACTTGGGAGGGGAGAGCTCCATCATGTCTGAGATCAGAGGGAAACCAATTGAGTGAGTATTTATTGTGCTTACAACATGACGCTGTCCTCCTTCTGTGCCCATCTACTATTTCTCTATTCTTGTCCTGAAAAACTGTGTCAGGTGACAAATGTCTGCTGGGACTGGGTAGCATGGATGGTGATGATTTACCAGTACCTTGCTCTGAGACAGATCAGGCTGATCACATCTTCTTAGGCAAGCTGGACTGATTCACAGCCTTTTTGGACACCTGCCTATTCCTTTGTTTATTTTCTTATTCCCTTCGTCTCCTTTAAATGTTTTCTATCTTCAGTTGATTGTGTGTGCCTCCTCTAGGATCTATGTTTCTCCCATGCTACTCAGTTACAGGAGAAAAAAAAATAGTAACATATGGTCAGGATGTTGTTCCAGACATGTCTCTAAAAGAGGGTATGGCTTGCAACTGCAGTCATTGCTGGAGAAAGCACCAGTCCTACAACTGTGCTACAGAGAGGTAGATAAAGAGGGTAGGAATCTTGTACTCTTGCCCAAATCTTGCTTGTGAACTCTGTCATTTTGTGTTTGGTCTTTCAGGTCCAGCTGTGTGTATGGAACTTGCTGCCTGTGGGGAAAGACATATTCGATTGGATTCTTGAGATTCTGCAAACAGGTATGGGCTGGACAGCCTGGGCCATCCTGCAGAAATGAAGTATGTAGGGGTGGCAATGGTGCTTTTTGCTGCTGAATTTCTGAGATCTTTGAGGTGTGCTCATATAGAATTTTTGAGAGGCTGCAGACTGCTGAGGAGGTGTTTCAGGGTTGGTTTGTTTGTTTAGAATTATTTTAACATTTTCTCCTCAAACCTGCATCAGGCCTTAGCTAAAGACACAAGTTATCTCCTGGAATTGATGTTAGCCCTAGGAAGAAACTCTTTCCCTTTCTGGATTACAGAGGTCCTGACTCTAAGAAATTGATGTCTGTGTTTTGTCGCAGACACTATACAGTTGTGTAATAGCCTCCTGAATTCCCAGTGTGCTGTTGTGGTTTGGAGCTGAGGAGGGAGTGGAGGTTAAGCATGACACATTGCTTTGTAGGAGGAACTGAGTATTGCGGTGTGCCTGTCTGAATTGGGTATGTTGAGGGTGGGTGGATGGGGGAGATCTAAACCTTTATACAGCACTTGTCTGCTCATTGCAGGTCAGTSACCTCTGGCTGTCAGGAAACAGCAGGTGAATTTCAAGGCTTTGCTCACTTGCTGAAATGAACACAGGAGGTTTCTGTGGAGACAGTGTGAAGCAGGTCTGGTTCTTTGAAAGGGCTCAGRTCACTGTAATTTCAGTCACTGGGTCTAAATATCTGCCCTTGCCTCTCCAGAACATCATGGTCTTTCTTCTATGTTGTAGCAATATGCAGGAACATCAAAAATGCAGTGCAGCCTCATGGTAATATCCGCGGTTAAGCTGTGCTGCACAAGTGGCCATTTTCAAAGGACCACTTCTTTTGCTTATCTGTTCTGTTTGTCCCTGCCCCATATTTTGTCCTTATGGCTTTTTGGTCTTCTTCCCTGATACTTTTATTTTCTAGTCTGCACCAGTGTATATAAGTCAGCTGTTTCTCATGGGTTTGGACACCCTTTGGTTGATTCACTGCATTACCTATTGTTTTTGCTTCTAACATTAGCTTCTACCTTTTAAATATGTCATAAGTAGCTGTAATACCCATGAAGGTGCATGAATGCTGGAGAAATAATTTCCCTTAGAYTTCTTGCTTCTCATGTCCCACAGCCTCTGGCAGTTATCGCCACCTGGGTTGCACCTGTCTCTGTTTGTAAAGTGAAAGTGAAGACTAGAAGCACACTTTGGGGAATGGGGAAGATGTGTTTTTTCTGCTGGCCTTCACAAATCCCAGCTCATTTGGTGACTCTGACTTTGGCAGATATTTTGCTTATTTTTTGCTGGTAAAAGGCAGCAATTTTTCTATTCATGCCTGCCCTTTATAACTGCTAAGTCTGCTGTGGAGGCTGTGAGGGAGGTGTATCGCAAAGAGATGCTTAAATACTTCTATCCTTCTTGGCTTCAGCTTAAATATTGCCTTAGTGAGAAAWTGTTGATGCCAAGACTCACTTTCTGGTACTTCTAGACTTCCAGGATTTTTGGGGAAGACCTTTCAAGGCAAATTCCTGGGAAGACTGGTGCGAAAGGGCAACAGAACAAATGTCAGTGCTGATCTGTGCGGTATCTACCATCGTGATGATCAGGAAGAGGAATGTGCTGAAAGCAACACCTTGCCCTTTTTAGCCATGTTTTCAGCATCTCCAGCACTTCTGTTGCCTCCCATCATCACCTGCTCTTTTCTACTCTTTCCAGTCCCTTTCATCCTGAAGAAATCTGTGTCTTATAAACATTTCTTCTTTCCATCTTCACTGCCACCCCCCCCCCCCGCAAACTTTTCTCAGGCAGGTGCCTGTTGTGGGTCAGTCAGTTTTCCTGTGTTGCCTATGGACCTCCAACAGTGTGGTGATGTGCTGCTGTCTGTGGTGTAAAATCCTAACAATTTGTTTCCTTAAAGATGTCTTGATAAAAATTCTTTGCTGGGTCTCTGTCTGGTGACCCTCACACATGGGTCACACACCATCCATGTGCTTCCCATATGCTATAGCATCCTCTAGGGAAGCAACTAAAAATAGTATGTGGTTTGGATTGCAGGGAAATGGTTAAAACATCCCCAGATCGGAAGGAGGGGAAGCTCAGAGGATGAAGTTGTTTACCAATTAGCTTGACCTTTTCCAGTTCGCATATTTAAAGTGACTCACTAACTGGCATGTGCTGGGGTTTTTAACCTCCTTGAAGTCTTATGACCACTAACAAATTGCATCGTATCCAAAGCAATTATTACCGTTTGGTTTTACCTTCTTTCTTTCCTTATGTAGCCCTCCCCATACACTCACAGGTCAGCACCTACCCAGGCTCTTCCAACCTCCTTCAGGGAGACACAGCTTGCGTCTTTTCAAGAGACATTTTTAGGGCCATAAGTGTTCCCTTCTTTAGAACTTTGAAGTTCMACAACTGCAGAAAGCTGAAGAATGYTGTGGCTTTGAGGGAACACTCAGTCCCAATAGGGGCAGTGGTTTATACAGGCAGAATGGATTGAGCTGATCCCAAGTGCCAGGGAATCTTTAGGGGAGAGTCAGTAAAGGTCATGTGGATGACAGCAGAATAGCTCTTAATTTGTGTGTGGCAACACACATCACTCCATTTACAAAATGCCTTAATACTGTGGCAATTGTCAAAAGTTCCTCCTCAGACAATGGGATTCCYCTCCGATCCTGGGAACCTTCTTGCYTAACTATGTGTCAGCTGTGGACTGGAGTTTGCTTTCCTTCCCCAGTATGTCTCTGTTAAACTTGCAGGGTCTCTGCCATAGCACAGTGTGGGATTTTTTTTTCTCATACTGTTACAGTACATAAATGTGCTGCAGCAAAGCTTGTGAAAAGCAGCTCTGGAAGAGTGGGACTGAGCAGCTTCTAGGAGCAACCGTACAGAGAAGTTTTTCTTCCTATTCTGGACAGGTAGATAGCACGTGTACATCTTCTGAATCTCCTTCATCTCATTTTGGGTGCTGCAGTCCTCAAGCACAATTGATTAGCAAGTGGCAGGGTCAGACTTCTTGTTGGGGCTGGTTTGTGTTGCCTTGCTGAGTTGTCCCAGTGGACACTCCATTGTGATGCTGGTTTGGCAACTTGGCCTGTTGCACCTCCTGCCTTCTCATTCCTCCTCTCTTGTTCCTGTAGGCTACCCTGCAGTTCTGTGTGGTGAAGCCCCTCATGGCGATCAGCACAGTCATCCTTCAGGCCTTTGGCAAGTACCAGGATGGTGACTTTGAGTAAGTTTATTTATTTAGTGTATGAGACTTGGCTGCCCCTTCTCTGCCTGGCTTTGCTTATTGTCAATGTGTGTCCTGAGCCATGGAAAAGATAGGACTACTGAGCTGATGTGTATGAGAACAGAGGGCAGAAGTAGCCCTCTTTCAGTTTCATGTTTTTTCCGCCTTGGATGGGGGTGGTGGGGAGTGGGACAGGGAAGCAGGAAGGAAATGGACTCTTAGARCTCTCCAGTGTCAGTGGCAAGGGGAAAAGATCATGCTGAAGTTTCAAGCATTCATATGTAATTTCTCTTTTTAGTGTAACCAGTGGCTACCTCTATGTGACGATCATCTACAACATCTCTGTCAGCCTGGCACTGTATGCCCTCTTCCTTTTCTACTTCGCCACACGTGAGCTGCTCAGTCCCTATAGCCCAGTCCTCAAGTTCTTCATGGTGAAGTCTGTCATCTTCCTGTCCTTCTGGCAAGGTGAGCTGCTTTTCCCTTCCCTTGGTAGGCACTAAGAGCTATCTGCAGGGGCTTAGACACAAGAGTTGATAGAGCAGATGTTGATTAATAGACAGAATGTCTTTCTGTATTCCATTTGTTTTAATTTTTGTTTGTATGCTCCCAAATTCTTATTATCCCTGTGTGTGTGTGTGTGCACAAGAATACCTACCTGGCAAAATCAGCYGATAAGGTGAAGAGTCCTCTGCATTCCTGAAACAATCATAAAGTGCAAGCTGCCAACATTTTAGCTGCATGCTGCCATTTTATTGATTAAAGTGGCACATCTAAACATTTTAGTGCTTTTTTAGTGCTCTATAAATAAAATTTGAATGGTATGTCTGTGATGTATGGGAAGCAGCAAGCTGGCTGGATGCAGTGTGTGCTGCCACAGAACCACCACTAGGAGAAGGACATTCAGAATTCATACACATGATTCAGAGGAACAGTTAGAAAGTTGAAATTCTACCTAAGCTTAGTGCTTCTGACTAATTTGCTCTAAGCATTTCCCTGTTCAGTGCCCTACTTAGGTTTACTGAGTTGCACTTCAAAGACTAATTGAGTAGGAACTTATGTGGAATTTAGGCTGTTGGAGTATGGCCCATCCTCCCTGTTTACAGACAAACTAGTAAGCTGTCTGGTTTATTATCTTGAACAATCTGGTYACACACTTTGTCTTCTCAAAAAATTTTCATCCACTAAGCTAGGGGCAGGGAGAAACCTCTTTCTTACAGTGGTGTGTCAAAAACACTAATATGCTTAAATGAAAAGTTCTGTTACTTCAATTTTTGTTCTAGCTAGCAGAAGTGCTGATGTTGCAAAATATGGAATATGTCAAAATTTTCTTAAAGGATGTTCTTTGATCTTTGTATACTTTCAAGTCTAATCAACAAGAAAAGAGGTTTAATCTGTGAAACAGCAGCTAACAAACAAGCTCCAAGTGATTTCCAGATGTTAGAAAGACAAATAACTTGACAGTAGAATTGCCTTGTTACAGGGTTAGGGCTTAACAGTTTCAGTGACCTCAAGGGAGGTTAACGAAACTTGGGAAGAAGCATGAACCACAGATAGTGGACACACAGAATGCAGAATTTACAAGCCACAAAGACATTTGGCAGGACCCCCRAGATAAGGAAGACAGCTCAGCAACTGTGCTGAATCAGCTGTGACTGAGTAAAAGGTGATTCTGGCAGGGGGAGATTACGGCCACTGACCCAAGAAACCACTGATTCAAAAGGAGAGAAGACTGAGTGTGCAGAATGATTAGCATGAGCAGTGAGAGGATCATTAACCAACAGAAGACAGAATACTAATTAAAAAGATAATTAGGTAATTTTTAGCCAAGGAACATTAGTGGCTTTGTTTGCTAAAGCATATAAATAGCAAAAAGCTTTGGTAGTCATCACGCTGGCTTTGTGGATTTGCCACACAGCACCCTTTTCTGTGCAGAACTGTAAATAAGCCAAATACCTTGACTCTTTATGTGGATTTGCCTCTTGCACAGTGTGTGAAAGAATCTATTTTGGGACAGCACTAAGATGACAGGAGTACTTACAGAAATATATGACTTCTCTTACCCTTTTAAGTCCTGCAGCAGTTAGTTCCACAGTTTATGTGTCAGTTGAGAATAGAAGAGTATCAGTGTTTGAACATTCTTTGCCTACATGTATTTGTCTAATTTTATTTCTCCTTTCTCTGTTGTACCAGTGACCATAGGTGGGTGTATGTAGCCCACTCTGTAGCTCCTGTGGTAAGTGGGGTTGTGTCTAGGACATACAGCACAAAAAAAAACTATTTCARTTCTTTGGAATTACTGTGAGATCATGTTTTCTGCACATCTTGCTTCTTTGTTTAGGGATGCTGTTGGCCATCTTGGAAAAGTGTGGTGCCATCCCCAAAATCCACTCTGCTAATGTGTCTGTGGGTGAAGGCACAGTAGCTGCTGGATATCAAGACTTCATCATTTGTGTGGAGATGTTCTTTGCAGCCATTGCCCTGCGCCACGCCTTCACATACAAGGTGTATGTGGACAAGAGAATTGATGCCCAAGGTAGGAAATAGGCCGGTGCATATGGCTTGTCTGTTTGGTAGTGAGACTGGTCCCTCAGGCAGCCAACACATTGATATCACTCCCAACCTGATAGCTTGGAAAACACCACATCCCTTCCTCYGTGGTGTCTGAACAGATTAATTGTGCAACAGCTCTCCGGGGCAGAAACCTTGTCTGAATTGCACTGTTCCCTTTTCAGTTCCCCAGTATGCCACCCACGACAACTTGTTGCAGACCTGAGGGCTGTAAGAAGTTGCATTGTTTCGGTAGAGTGGGTTTATCCTTCTTCCTGTCTCCCCAAAGGGGAACTCCATTGCTCCAGATTGTGCAACAGACCGAAGGCAGGAGGGACAAGGCTTAAAACAGGCTCTGTTTTGGATGTGGCTTGGGAAGATGAGGCTGTGCTTTGGCAATGCATTTGTCACAGAGGAGGAGGATGTCGTTCCTGTAATGACATTGTGAGGGCTGGGTTGCTATAAGGAAGATTCTTATTTTGGGGAAGAGGAAGATATTGCCTCTGGAAAAAGGGGATTTTTATGCCTAGTCTATGCAAGTACATTAATGTTTATCAAATGAAGGGATTCCTTCCTGCTGGGGGTGATCTGTGCTGAGGTGCGGGAAGACAGCAACCCTGGGGCAATGTTGATGTAGATGAGCCCTCCCATCCCAGCCAACCCCAGCAGTTTTGGAAAGACAGTGGGGAAGATGAGATCTGTGAGTGATAAAAGGGTAAACTGCTGATCTGTACAGTGGGGAATGTTTCGGCAGTGGGCCTTTTTCAGTTCTTGGTTATTTCCTCTTTCTCTGTCTCTTTCTCTCCTGTTCCTTTTATTTCTCCCTTGCTTTGGCCATTGGTCCCTGATGCAGCTGTTCCATCATATGGACCATACGGTAGGTACAGCATGCTTTGTGTGTTTGTCTCAGTAGGTTTTTAGCTGGGATGCTGTTCTCTCCTGATTCCCAGCCTGCCTACAGTCTGCCCTGTCCCTTGTTCCCCTTTCCTTGTAATTCTGTAACTTGACTGCCTCACACAGCTGCTTTAGGATTGTCTGGATTATAAGTAGTAAAAGGGCCACATGGGCAGTAAATGTGTAGCTTTAGAGCGTTTGTGTCAGAGTTGCAGGAATCTCTGTCCAAAGAGTTGCACTCAGAGGAGCTGCTCTAACCCAGCCTCCCTTCATTTTTATAATTGCCACACATGATCAGCATGCTTTGGTTCTCTGGGGTGTTCATCCCCAGAACTGACCAGAGCCAGAAGTCCGCCCTGGAAATGGAACCTAGAAGCCACAAAAAATGGTAGCTCCTAGAAGGAGACACAGCTTCTCTATGTGCTCAGCACTTGGGTGGTACGTTCTCCAGCTGTTGTTTCCATCATGGTATCATCATGACACACGGGGTGATTCTGCCTCTAGCACTGCCTGTTTCCCTCCTTTCCTTACTTAGTGCTGCTTTCCACCCGTAAGACCTCTTTCCTGTGGGCACTTTGATATCACCTAGCAGTCTTAATTTCCAGTGAGTGGAATGGCAAATACCATTTCTCCTATATTTTTAGAATTTCCTTAATGTTTGTCTTCTGAAAGCATTTAGAAGAGCACCTCCCTACCTGACTGTATTCGTTGCACAGCCAGCACTGGTAGTGTGTGGTAGTGGTTGTCACTGAGGCTGTGTCCCATTCTCATAGTGTGTCCCCCATTTGGTGCTGTGGTAGATTCACTTGGCTGACAGTGTCTGGGTTTAGGAGTGYCCTGATAAAACTCGATGCCATTTGTGTGGCATTTCCTCAGCAGTTGCTTAAGGAATTCTGTAACACACTTTCTGCGGGATCTAGGCTTGCATGTTCCCTGTTCTCCTTACCTTCGTGTTAAGTGGTGTGGGGAAGGCAGCYGTGTTCTTCACTTGTCCCTCCCTTTCTTACTCAACAGGTCGCTGTGCTCCCATGAAGAGCATCTCCAGCAGCCTCAAGGAGACCATGAATCCCCATGACATTGTCCAAGATGCGATCCACAACTTCTCTCCAGCCTACCAGCAGTACACCCAACAGTCCACACTGGAGCACGGTCCCCCCTGGCGCAATGGCAGCCACGTGATCTCGCGCTCCCACAGTTGCTCTGGTGCCCGCGACAAYGAGAAGACCCTCTTGCTGAGCTCTGATGATGAATTCTAGGAGGGGAAACGGCCAGCACAGGCTGTCATTTTTCTTCTTTCTTTTTTTAAAAAAATAATTTATTAAAGCAGAAACACGCAAGTCATATCACTTCCTAGAGAGTAAAGATTGCAGAAGTGGGCACCTCCCATTAGCTTTCGTGGATATGGATACAATGAGCAATGTGGAGGTGGCGGAATGGCCAGGACTCCACGCTCAAGCCCATTCCTTACAGCAGCAATCGAATTGAATTGATTCAAGCAAAGCTCCAGGATTTGGGGCTCTGGCTTCACACACCTGCCCAGCTTGGTGTGGAATGTGACTGGCCAGAGCCTGCAGTTGTAGCCAAAAATGTTTTTGCTTTCTTACCAACAGGACAACCTGACTCCTTTCTATTTCTTTTCCTGAATGGTTGATGTAGGCACAGTTTTCTCCCCAGCTCCCTGGTACTAACATCTCTGTGATCCTTGGGAAATAGGATGGGGATGCAGCCATAGGCATTCCTGAGGACCAGACCAAAGACTGGTCTTTCTGTATAGCCACTGCCTTGAATGCTAAGTAAGGAACATCTGTCCCCACCCTCCTGAGCACCTGCTTGTGAATCCTTGAGTCACCTGAGTGAGTGAGGGGGAAAAGGACAGGGTTTTCTTCATGTTCCTTGTCTCTCTGCATCCCCAACTGTTGAAGCTCAGTGGGGTGGAATTGCTTTTTCACAAGGGTGGAGTTTTTTAATCACCAGGTGTCCAAGCTTCCCATCTCTCTGGTGCTCCTGTGGCAGGAAGCCTCCCTGGAGCATCTGGCTCCTGCTAACAAGACTGAGGACTGACTGTGATAGATGGTGGAAGTTTGTAGAGCTCTGGCCCCTTCACCCCTCTTTGGGAAGGGAAGATATGTAAACACAATATCAGTTTTTCTTCTTGTTTCCTGTCACCCAGCATCACATCTCCCCCTGTTAGAGATATAGCTTCCAGAGCAGGTCCTGGTCTCTCTCAAGTAGCTCTCCCCATGCTTGTTATCACTGACTTTCCCTGTAAGCAGGTTTTGCCCTTAGGCTGGAATATTCATGAAGCAATGTTGCACACTCCTTTGTTTTTTTATCTCCATAGCTGTTCTGGGCCAAGCTGGAGCAGACTTGAAACCTGACAGGACCTGGCTGGTCAAATTTGTCCCTTTTATTTTCCCAGGCAGCAGTTGCTCCTACTRCTGCACATTTCACAAGCTCTGTTGCACCTGCAGTGCTACCAAGAGTGGAACCAGCATCCATGGAAGTGGGAGAAGCTTCCCCTTGCATCTGTTSGGTTTTGGAGAGCCTGTGGGTACTTAGTGGAGCCAAAACAAAAGTGTTCCCTCTGTAGATCTATCCAGGGACCAGGAAATGCCTCTTGCTTGCTTAAAATTATCTAGGGGAAGAGTAGACAGCACACTCAAGTGCTACAGCTCAGATGCTCCTACCCCCGAGCAGGAAACAAAATTGAGAGATTGGAGCAAGCTCCTGTGTTCAGCTGTAGTTTCTCCATTCCCCTCCTGCTTGATGCCCCCCTGCCATGAGCAGACCTCTGTGGCTCTGGATTGCTCCTTGTCGCTCTGCTAGGAGAACTGGAGTCTGGTTTGCTGCCCGGAGTTCACATTTCCATTTGTTTCCTAATCCATCTGCTTGTTCATTGAGTTTCTCAGAAGCAACAGTGAGTGAAGAGCACCTCATTTCTTCAGCACCTCTGCCCAAGATGGGCAAAAGTGTTTGAAGAGAGGCAGGTTTGCTCCCTGCTGTGAGGGTAAGATAGGGAAAAGCTTAAGGATAGTGACTCCACCTGAACCCATGTCTCTGAGGGACGATGAGGCAGGTGACAGCAACAGTGCTGACTGTTGAGGGAGCTGGAGGCAGGGTCAGTGGCTCCASCAGCTTCTGTGCTGCTGGATTTCCTCACTCACACACGCTGCAATGCTATGCTGTTACTGCTTTTCCTCCGTCTGTGACTGCTTAATTGGACATGCAAACACACTGCCAGGCTTTGGGTGGGCTTGGTGTAAAATTTCGTCATGCATAACCCTCCTGGAAAGCAGGGCTGAAGGTTGAATGGGCTTTCGTTCTGTCTTCTGTGGCTTTGATTAATAGTCCTTTAATGTGAGATACGGTAAAGTTACTCTCTCACTTGGGAAAGTAGGGCATGGGACATGATCCCATCCTCTCCTTTCTTTGCGTTTGCAGGCCTTGATGATGTCCCAGTATCACTTTCTGACTGCCCCCAATCTTCRTTGCATTTGGGTGGCTGAGATCTGAAATCTCTGTAATTGCCCTATTGAGCATGAAGGTGGTCCAGGCTTAGAGAAGCATTTCTTAGAACTTATTTTGAAATGTTTCCTGCATATATGTGTGTATGCTGTGCAGAGGATCTGGATATTCTCAAAGCATCCTGTGTGTAATGGTTTAAAGTATAACTATTTTGCACCAGTTGCCTTTGGTGGAGCCTGGTGAATTAGTACCCAAACTATACCCAGCTGCCCTACTTTATAATTTTATATACATACATGTTTTTTAGCACCACAAAAAATCATCCATCACTGAGCTTCCTGCTCTCCCTCATGACTGGCAAGTGCCAGACCAAGCACTGGCTCTGAAGCTGCTTTGGGTTGAAGGAACAAGTATAAGATCCAGAGCTTGAAACCAAGAAGGCCAAGGCATCTGTGGTCTTTTAGGTCTGCTCATGGTAGCCCAGGGCCCAAGAAATGTGCTGGTTCCAGGAGCAGACCCTTGGAACTGCTCTCCCCTGCTTCTGCTCCTTCTTCCTTCCTTCCTCCCTTCCTTCCTTTTTTGTTTACCATGTAACATACCCATGGGATTTGTTTGTTATTTTTCCATATAGAGTAGTTCTTTGTATATAAATGACTGAAAAAAGTATGATAAATAAGACAGAGTCACCTAGTTTTGTACCTATTGTGTTTAACTGATGTGAGCTCAGCGACAAGCCGCTCTCTATTTTGGTCTTTGTGACGTTATACTCTGCAGAAATGAGCAAATATGATGACAAATAAAAAACATAGAGATAATATAGATTGTACTTAAGCTGTCTCTGTGTGGTGCTGTCTGGGTGACTTCTCTTGAGTTTTTCCTCCTTGCAGGGACTGAGGCTTGGTGGGTCAGGATGTCTTTTCCTCTTCTTGGGAGAAAAGCTGTTTGTCTGTGTAGGAGCTGATGGAGAAGCACCACTGCAGCACTCTGGGCTGAGACACCACTGCTGGCCCAAGGCAGGAGTGAAACCCATATGTCAAAAACCTGGATTGGAGATGAACCCTTCCTTAGGTGCTCACTGTGAAACACCTATGGGAGACAGGGAGCCGCATTCTCTGACAGGGCCCCAGCAACCAGTGACTTTGGGATTTTCTTCCATGAGCAGTGTTTTGGGGCTGGGGCCAGTTGCAGTGGCAGAGGGAATAGGAGTGTCAAACCTCCAGACCATCTGTGTGCTGCAACCTGCTGGGGACCTGGCCCACCTGGGCATTTGGAACACGCCCATCATTTCCACCTCAGCTCTGAGGAAGGGTAGGGCATTAGGTCTGGCTTCATCTCCCAGTAAGGTGCCTGCCACACTTCCTTCCCTTTCTCCTGCCATCCATGACCAGAAACTCACAGATTTCCTGCTTGCGTTCCCAAGTAAGGCAGTGAGGTCACTCAGCAGGGAAATTTCTGGGCACAGATGCCCTGACTGCACCTGCCTCTCCTGTACCTGGTCCAAGGACAGCATGGAATTTTTGTAGAGAAAAGATTCTCTTTCCCAGGAAAAGCTGATTCAGCACAGCTGAACTCCTGAAAGCCATTGCTTGGTGTGATATTCAGCATTAAGCGTGCTTTCTTAGCCCTTTTCTTTCAGAGACTATAAATCTGGTTTTGTCCTAAAAAGCCATGAGCTATCCCCCATCCCATCCTTTTCGGACGCATCCTTGAGCATGTCCTGCAGAAAAGCTAGAGGGACCCAGAAAACCTGGTCTCACTCAGACACAGCTCTGTCCCAAGTTCAAGAATGACCAAACACACTCTTGCTGTGGAAAAAAAAAGAACTTGCTTTATTTGTAAAGTCTACAAAATACAGAGGAGTCGGGTAGGACACATACTGTAAGTCAGAAAATAAATAAGTTTTTTTTGCTCTATATAAGATAAAACGTGATTTGCATATATAAAATATAAAGTACGGCTCTGTACCAACATCCTGGCTGTGCCGAGAGGCAGAATGGCAAAGAGGACGTGAAAATAACTTATGTTCGTGCAATAAATAAACCCAAGATGAGTTGGGGTGGGGGATGCCAACCACAGTACCCCATCCAGGAGTGGCAGGTACCTCTCTACAGGGAAGAATGGAAGCTGCAGCCAAGGGCAGCTGGTGTGGCAATACCCAGGCAGGGGCAGARTGGAGGGGCAGGGGCGTCATCTACAGCAGCACATCCTGAGATGGGTCTGCCTCCTGTTACCTCYGCTGTGCTGCCTGTATGTAGTGAACACAGTTCTTCTCCAGCCTTTCAGGCTGCKCAAGAGCCGGTTCTTCCACACCAGTGTCCAAGCTGGAGGAAAACCAAAAGGGAGGAGCCTACCTGCCTGCCAGGCAGCTCCCAGGAGCCGGGATGCTCTCTGCCCCTACTTCCCACCTCTTGCACCTCCACCCCTCTCTGCCTCCACATCTCTGACTCTTAAGATCTGGCAACACCTTTCTGTGGGCTTTGTAGGCAATGGGGCACTGGGGAGGACTTGGTGGGGCTGTACAAGCTGGCCTGTGCTGTGCAAAACAGTGTTTATCTCTGCTCCAGCTGCCTCCGCTTCCTTCCTGCCAGTGYTGCTGCATTTCAGACACCTGGCCAGGCTGAGTGTCCCGTCAGCAGGAAGAGGCGTGAAGGATGTGCATGATACAGAAAGATAAAACAGCACCATTGCTTCTCCCCTTTTGCAGACAGCAGCCTGGGCTGACCCACTCGCACTCCCCAGTTCTCCCCTGCCTAATCACTGTCACCTCTGGGGTCCCCCAGCACCACAAGCTGCCACAGTGCTTTCCCATTCCATTCACCCTTACCAGGCATCAACCTGCAGACACTTTCTCTCCCCCTCTGACCTGCCAACCTTCCCTTGCCATTTGCATCCCCAGAGATTCCAGACATGATCCTACCTCCCACCCCGCTCCAGCTGTGGTCCAAGTTACATGCCCAGCACTGGTATCTTTCTATCAAGCCTTCTTCTTCTATGCTGCAAAACCTCTCTCTCCTCTTTTCCTTCTCTGGCACATGCTCCTAGGACTGCCTGGCCCACATTCAGCTCTCCCATACCCTCTCACAAAAAAGAGGCACCTGGCATTTTTCTACCAGCTTGGAGCTGTGGGATGCTTTCCCACTGCTGTCTGCGTGGGTTTGCTCTCTCCTGTCTGCACACCCAAGAGGGGAGGGGGCTGTGGGGGCCACCAGTGAGGTTTTGTCCTCCACCCCAGCAACCACACAGCAGCAGCCCTCCCAACCTGGGGGCGCTGAAGGTCAAGGGATGGAGAAGGAGGATTTTGGACACAGGTCCTGACAGGGAGGAGGTTGTGGAAGGGCTGGGAGGTAATTCATGGGGAAGGTGCCCCAGGCAGGACTGTGCCCAGCCGGGAAACAGAGGCCAGCACTAGGAGTAGGCGGCCTGGTTGGTGCCTGACTTGACAATGGTGATGACACTGGCAGTGGCCACCTTGGCGGGGGGCCCATGAGTAGCCACAGTGCGGGCGAAGCCCTGCAGGGCCTCGTATTTGCCGCGGAGGGTGTCGAGCTCCAGGCGCATGGCAGCGTTCTCCCGGGCCAGCTTGTCCACCTCCCACTCCAGCTCCATCTTCTGCTTCTGCAGCTCTTCCTTCTGGCAGACGCGCTTCACCCGGCAGCTGGCAGCATAACCCCGGTTCTTCAGTGTCCGACGCCGCTGCTTCAGCCTCGCCACCTCCTCTTTGGAGAGGCCCCGCAGGTGGTGGTTGAGCTCCCTCACTGACAGCCCCATCAGCTCCTCATCTGACAGCAGTGGCGTGTTCTCCCCCAGCTCCCGCTTCACCTGCCAGAAAGAGGGGTGATTGCCTGAGACCCCCAAAATCAGACCCCTTACTCCCAAGCCCCTATTTCCACTGGTGCTCACCTTCAATGCCTTGCTGGAGAGTCCGTCCGCAGCCATCCTTCCCTCTCTCTGGCCCTACTAGAGAAAGCAGCCAGGAGAAAAGCCGGTTACTGCCAGCCCCGTGTACCTCCCGTCAGAACAGAGGACACCAGCCCTGCTGGTCCTCTGCCCACATCCCCGCCACCCCGGGCCGCATGACTCATCCCACTCCTTTTAAAAAAGTACATAGTAATAATATTAATAGCAAGCAATAATAATAATGAGGCAAGGATGGACCTCCCGTCCTCCTTTATCCCATCACGAGGTGGTTGGGATGCTATCTGCCCAGGGGACCCAAAATGCCCCAGGCCTTCTGCTGGGAAGCCAAGGCTTCCCCGCGGGGAGGAAACCCAGGCGAGATCCGCCCGAGGCTGAAGGGAAAGTAAAAGCAGCAGCCCCACGGAGTGACACCGTGGCGAAGTCACCCAGACGGTACCCGTGTTGAGGTGCCGTCCCACTGCCCGGCAAGAACACCGCGGGTCCCGGCGCAAGGGTCGGGGTCTCCAGGCTCAGGGGGCGAAGAGTCGGGGCCACGCAGCGCGGGTCGGTAAAAAGGGGCCGCCCCGTGATTCAGCAGCCCCGGGGGAAAAGGCACGGAAGCGCTGCTTGCCCCTCGCCGGTGGACAGTCCCTCCCCGTCCCTGGGTTCGGAGAGTGAGGAGGGGTGCGGGACCCCGGACTGGAGCCCAACAGCCTCTCCCCGTCTCGGGGAGCCCCGTTCTCGCTAGAGCAGCTCTCTGAGGGACGAGGGGGGCCGGGACGGGGCTGAGAGCGCCCCGAGAGTAATGAGGGGCTGGAAGGGGGCGGTGGGAAAGGTGGAGCCGGGGCGGCTGGAAGCTGATGCAATCCGGGCCGGGGATCCGTCGCCGGAGCCGGAGGAGCGGCGGCGGATCCCTCCAGGGCGCTGGCTGGGAATTGGGAAGGAGGAGAGGACGGCCCCGAGCGCGGCCAGCCGGCCAGCCCCCCCCTCCCGTTCCCTCCCAGCCCTAGTCCCAGTCCCGGTCCCGGTCTCCGCCTTCGGCGGCGGCAGAGAGGCCTCCAGCCGTTGCGGAACCCCACCGTCCCCCTCTCCCAGCCGCCCCGCGGGGGACAAAGCCGAGGTGGGAGCGGAGGGTCCGCCCCGGCCGGCGCTCACCTGGCGGCTGCGCTGGTCCCGTGGGGCCGCTGCCGGGTCAGCGCGTCGGGCGGCGCCTCCAGCCCCGCTCCCCGCGATTACTCACCCGCGGATTCTTTTCATTCATAAAAACACAGTCATGCGGTGACGTCACCCTCACCACGCCCCCCCCCACCGCCGCCGTCCCGTGGGGCGGCCGCTGCACTTAAAGCGCCCGCTCCCCTTAAAGTGCCCCGCGGTGCCAGCTCTCCTTGCACGCTGCCAGCGCATACCGGCACGCCGCGGTGTGAACGGAGCCGCGCTCCAACAGCGCTGGTTTTCACTCGAGTGTAGGGATGACGCACGACCGATGAACGGCCCTCCAGGAGCAGAACGCCCCACTAAAACGGACCACTACCGCTTTAAAAAGTGTGGCCCCACCCCTGTCACCCCCGCCCCTCACGAAGATGGCGCCTCCCGCCCTTCCGCCCTGCTCCTCTGGTAGGCGGTGGGCGCGGCTTTAATCCCGCCCCTCATGGCCCCTCCCCGGAAGCGGCGCATCTGATTGGTCCGTCCTGGGGGGCGGTGCCGACGATTGGCGGGCGGCGGGCGGCGCGAGCGGGGGGCGTCGCGCGGGGGGCGTCGCGCGGGGGGCGCTGGGGGCCCGTCGTGCTTTGCCCGGCGCCATCCTTGGATCCACCCACAGCCCCATTCCTGGCCGCGGGCTGTCACCCGGCGGCGCTCCCGGTGGCGGGTCACACAGTGCGTGGAAGTACAGGGGACGGGCGGAGGCTGTGGTCSCGTTTCCGACGGGAGAAGCCGTCTGAGGCTTTGGGAAGATGCAGTTCTTTGGGAGGCTGGTGGACACCTTTAACAGCGTCTCGCAGATATTCTCCAACCCGTACCGCGTGAGGGAGGTGTCGGCCGCTGAGTACGCCGGTCACCTCTGCCTGCGGGAGGAGGGCAGGGTGGCCCTCTACAGGAACAGCGTCGCTGGCTCTTGGGACTGTCTGCTGGTGAATCCTCAGAGCCCGCAGGTCGCGTTCCGGTGAGTGGTAGATCTTTAGCTGTCCCTGCTGTCGTGGGAAACCAAAGCCCCCAAATCGCTGGTGTCCGGGCTGCTTCGAGGCTGCGGGTGTGGGGTGATGCGCTAAAACAGCAGGTGGGCTGGGAGGGATGGAAGGCCCATGAGTATGCTGGTGGAGGAGTTGCCCTCAAAACAGCTTGTGGAAACAGGACGGGGTCCAAACACTGTGACCACAGGCAGCTGGGATATAGTTCATGGCATCCATAGGTGCACATGCTTTTCCCCTCGTTACTGTTGCTAGTTCACCATCTGGAGCACAGGATTCTTAAGTGTAAAACCTAGCATTGTTCAGGAAGGGGAGGTGTTCTCTGCCAGTGAAGTAGTCTTCCTGCTTCCCTTGGAACAAGGATGACACTAGCTGAAGAAGAATAGGAAAGTTTCCARCAGTGCTGTTTGGAAAAGAGCTATTTCCCTCAGATACACGGGATTGGGGTTGTTCCTTTGAGCAGGACTAACCCATGCTTGCCTTTTCCCCAGGCTCTTCCAGCTGGACAACGAAGCAGACGCCCTGGTGTACTTTGAGCAATATGCCCAGCAGCTGCGCCCTTTCTACGAGAGCTCGTGCCAGCCTTTGTCCCTGGAGGAGCTCCAGCAGCTCAGTGACTGCCTCCGCAGCCACCCCAGCTGGTCCTCGGCACACATTGCTGTGGAGTTTGGCCGCCGCGAGAGCTTCCGGCACAACCACATCCTGAGGCAAGGAGCAGGGGSTCTCCAGGGGCTTGGTGCTCAGAAGCTTGGGAGGGCAGGCTGGGCTCAGTGAGAGTATCCCTTCTTTGCTGTGGGAGCTGGTTGGTGAGTTTCAACCTGCTGCTGCAGAGCCTGGAGCTCTGGTATTTGAAGTAAAGGATTGAARATATTGCTGTAGGTACTGGGTAGATTATTGCAACTCTTCTAGAGCTGATTTTTGGAGTGGTGTGTGGCTGAGTTTGTAAGCCACAAGAGTGGAGGTACACTAGGACTGTCTGGAAACAGTTCTTGGTCACAAATCCTTCCTCTCTTTTCATGGGGAAGTTCTGTCGTGGTTTAACCCCAGGTAGCAGCCAAGCCCCATACAGCCGCTTGGTCACTCTCCCACCAGAGGGGACCAGGGAGAGAATCGAAAGGGCAAAAAGTAGAAAACTGGGGGGTTGAGATAAAGACAGTTTAATAAGGAAAGCAAATGCCACGCACACAAGGAAGGTAAAACAAGGAATTAAATCACTTTTTCCCACAGGCAGGCAGGTGTTCAGGTACCTCCAGAAGAGCAGGGCATTACAGTGACTTGGGAAGATAAACACCATCACTCCAAATGTCCCCACCCCTCCCCTGCTTCCCCCTATTTTGTATACTAAGCACTATGTCATATAGTCTGGAATATCCTTTTGGTCAGTTGGGGTCACCTGTCTCAGCTGTGTTTCCTCCCAGCACCCCCTGTCTCCTCACCAGCATGTCAGTATGAAAAGCAGAAAAGGCCTTGGCTCTGTATAAGCCCTGCTTAGCAATAACAAAAACATCTCTATTTTAYCAACTCTTACGTTCAGCACAAATCCAAAACAGCTCCATACCAGCCACTGTGAAGAAAGCTAACTCTACCGCAGCCAAAACCAGCACAAGTTTACTGAGGACAGGGGAGACTGGTGAGGAGTGAGAAGACTGGAGGACAAATGGCAGCACTATTGCCAGATTGCTGACTGTCTCCTGCCTTCCTTTGGGCAGAGGGAGCTGATCCCATATGAAGGGCAGAAAAAGGAGCAGTATTGTCAGGGAAAGAGTCCATGGCAGGGCTGTCTTATGGCCCTTCCCTGTGCTGCTTCTCTGGCAAGCACTTTTGTGAATCCCATGGTTCGCACCAGATGGGGCAGATGTGGAAGGTAATTCTGGAGCAGCTGCATGTCCTTCTCCCCGTGGCCATTCCATGGCCTCATGCTGAGTCCTCTCTTGCAGCTATGTGAACAGCACAGACAGCGAGGATGGCTGCACCCCACTGCACCTAGCGTGCCGCAARGGGGACATGGAGTGCCTGCTGGAGCTGCTGGAGTGCCATGCACGGGTCGACATCACCGACAAGAACGGAGAGACTGTTTTCCATTATGCTGTGCGAGGGAACAACCCTCAGATCATTGAGGTGGGAGTTATTTCTAGTCTGGGAGAAAGTGGGACCAGAATGGGTCTTCTCTGTGCTGTGAGGAGAGAGATGGGAAAACAGCTTCAGACGGGAAGAGAGAGTCAATTCCCTCTGTTGAGTTATTGCTTGTGCCTGGTTTCAGCCTCTTACTTCCCCTCTTTATTGGTGCTGTTTCCCATAATCAGAGTCCAGATTCCACCTTGCACTAGARCAAGGGTGTTCAGCGAGTTTCCTCAGACAGTATCCCTCACTGCTATTTACATCAGGCCTTCATCCTTGCTCAAGCTCATGKCTGTCCTTTCCCTCTCTCCTGTGAGCAGGGTGTTTGGTTTCGGGCAGAGTGCTGCTGTTGGGAAGTGTGTGTTCAGGCTGCCATGGGGGGTTTGTGTGTTGGCCACAGGGTGAAGGACAGTTCGGAGCTGCCCTGGACTCTTCTGAGCTGCAGGACCTGCTGTTTGAACTGAATGGCCTTGCATGGGGACAGTCATCAGAGCCTCTGGATAGAGGCATTAGACAGAGACAGTCTAATGCCGGAGATGTTCTTGATTGCTGAGGAATGCTGGGCAGAGTATGGGGGTGGGTGGCCTTGCACATGGTTCCTGAGGTCTGTCAGCTCCCCAAGGCTCTGTTGGAGCCTGAAACTGACTCTTCCCCATGCCTGCAACCCCCACATTTGCCCAATATYTGTTATGACAGCTCTGCCTACCAGTCTGTGTTGGAGTTTCCTAATGCATGATGAGTTAGGGATGAGATCAGGGCTTGCCATACTGTGGTAGTTAAGAACTTAGTATTAAAAAGATATCTTCCTCTTTATTTCTCTGATGGCATCAACTTGGCTTGTTGTCTGATTTGTCTTTTGTTCATTTCTTTTCTCTATTGATTCCTTTCTAAACTGGAGAAAAATAAAATTCCCACTTCTCACGTGTGCACCAAARCTTGCAGGGCTTCCCCAGTGTGGCAGTGGGATATTTTTCTGCAACAAACCAGTCAGCATGTAAGAGATCTACAGTTTACAGGGAGCAGGGATGGAGAGAACAGGCTTGTAGCATTGTGAGGGGTCCAGAGTCTGTCCTCRGAGCTCAGGAAGAGAGACGATGCTCTTCCATGTTTGTCCGTGTATTTATTTATCTACTGCCTCCTTCTTACAGCTCCTGGGCAGAACCCCAACTACTGGCTTGAACCACCTGAACCGTGAAGGGCTGACAGCTCTGCACCTCGCATGCCAGCTGGGCAAAGAGGACATGGTTCGATCCCTGCTGAAATGTTCTGCCAGCTGCAGTGTCATGGGCACGCTAGGCTACCCCATCCACACAGCACTGAAGTTCTCCCAGAAGGGGTATGTATTCTCCCCTCCAGTCTGAGGACCTGTGTTTGCTTAGCATGGGCTGTGCTCAGTAGGACAGGTCTCACATGTAGTTATTAGCAAAAGAACAGGGAAGTGCTGGTATGGGAAAGAAAGAAATCCTTTCAGAATAAAACCTTTTCTTCCTTGAATTAATACATTATTCAGTATCAGATACCAGCAGAAAGACACAGATTTTAAAAGCTATGTTTGTGAAGTACTGTTTCTCAGAATGAGTTGTAGGATGGTTAGATAGTATTGATTGCTGTATGACTGAGTGCTCTGATCCTAATAAGCCTTCATTTCAAAGCATAGTTTTCACATTTCTTGTAGGCCAGAGATACTCTTAACTCTTAATAACAGTCTGGAAATGAATCAAAAGAGGCACAATATTTATTCCCTGTTTGGTTYGGAGAAATTAAATTCCCTTTGTATATGCTTTATAGTACTTAATATTCAGAGAGTGTCCAAGCTCTACAGACAGGGTTTTCAAGCAAACAGTAGTTGCTGGTAACCGATTTTTAAGCATTTTGAAAAGGGCTTCCCAACATTAGAGATGCATTCACAAGCCCAAAATATGCATAGGTCACTGAGGTTGCACTGGGGCTCCATCTCTTGTGCAGGGTTTGT